GCTTTTGTTTCTTTCCAGCTGGAAAAACTCAGTATTCAAATACTATTTGAGGTTTCATTGTTAAAATGTTATTGAAAAAAATCCTCATTAAAATTACATAAAATTAGTATTTAGACCAAATATTTATGTATTATTGTAACCAACAAGACAAATTAAATAATATCTCTGGATCTACTAATGAGATCAGGATGATCTCAGTATCAAAATGTAGCTTTTAAAGCAGGAATCTGGAAATATGATGAGGTCATTTTGAACAAATTTCACTTATTCCTAATTTTGATGTGATGGGTCACATATTTACTATTTTCCAATGAGAACTATAGATTTATGTGATTCGTAAACCCTTCAGTATTTTTGTTGTTTCAGAATTGGGGTTGTAATTACTTTTCATGTCTTTATATTCTGTCACTGAACTGTGTTTAGAGCTGGACAAACACATTCACTWACAATTAGACAATGTTTAGGGTTCCACTGATTGACTCCATCTTTATATTGTCTTTAGATAAGCAGGTTTCACAAACACTTTGTTTTACTGTCCTTTGTGAGAAGGGATGAGCTTCGCCCAGCAACAAGTTAGAAGAAGCATCAGGTGCTAAAGACAGAACTGTCCTGACATCAGACTGAGGTCCACGCTCTTCCTCTTCTTCATGGTTTCTTCACAGACCCTGCAGGATCAGAGCTACGTGGTCTTCTTTGCTCTTCACTCTGTCAGGAAACTCCTTCACTTTCACCTTCATTAAAAAAAGCTAAGAACTACAAATATTTGGTAGAACAAACGCTGCTACAGTGAAGTGGTAAGGCTGTTTGCTACATACCGTTCTGTTCCTTGCAGAAAGTGAAAAATGGAAAAAAAAAGTTCATTTTGTCAAAGTTTTTTTCCACTTTTTCAGTCACTGAGGCCTCCACCAGTGCAGGAAGCAGAGCTACGCGGCCACATGTCCGATCAGGTAGATATTATCGTAGAGATGGCCGACAAAGTCATCAGAGACATTATGTGCTGCTCGGCGCGTGTTCCTGATAAACTCCCTCTTAGACATTTTATTCTTCACATGTGGACTGGTGAGGTCTATGGACAGCAGGATCAGACTGTAGCACAGCACATACACAGCGTCTGCAGAGAGGCAGTACAAAACRACATCACTACTTTACTTTTAATATAAAAAAAATTACTTTTGAACAACAAGGACCGCTGTGTAAATGTGGCAGATTTAGTCAAACATTTTTAAATAGGAATGCAGTTAAGCCGAAGTACACAGACAAATACTTACAAAAGACATGAGCTAACATTACCACACAAGTAAAAACACACAATAAAAGACATGCAAGGAATGCAGATTGTCCRCTGCTCGTCGTACTAAAACAAATGGAGTTCTAGCTGTTTTAGTCAAACCTTGAAAATAAGATTATGCACAAACTACTGTAATGCAATGATATCCTGTCTGATCTCACATGAACACAAGTTTTAAAGKRGACCAATTATGGGTCCTAGAAATGTTTATGGTATGTCTGTGGGCTATCCAGACCATGTTCATTCAATTTAATGCACAAAATAATTCTCAGATAATAAAATTCCCATTTTCTAGTTTCTGCCTGCTCTGACTTCTGTTCAGAAGAGCTGTTTATGTTAATGAGCTCTGTTGGTAACGCCCTCCAAAAATCTGTTGACATTAACTCCGCCCTCCAAAGCCAGCGTTAACGTTAGCATGGCTAATAATAGCAGAAGCTCCGTTGTACAACCATATGAGACCCAGAGGCAGAGTCGTGGTCCCAGCTTCTTTTTTTCTCTCCCTCCTCTGCTCTGCGCTCACTCTGCATGCTGTTACCAGAGCAGGGAGCAGCAGTGGTCAAAATACCTCAGAAACTMGAACAAATAGGCTTTAACAAGGCTTTAATAAGCTAAACAATAGAGGTACATGAGAAAACGTGTTCATTATGAATGAAAATAAATAATTAAATTGTGTCCATGCCGGTCTCCAACACTGGTCTCCCACTCTCTGGTCCAACACTCTACCCATTGCCCTATTGAAGGCTTGTTGTGAACTGAGCTGCACATTACACAACAACAACCATGACGGCTTTTTATACTGAGGAGGAGAAGTCTCACCCGGGGGTTGCTAGGTAAGGGGCTGAACGCAGGTTCAGGTGGGTTGTCGTATGGCTTGTGACATCACAAAATGACGGAAGTATAAAACTTGTCGTTAATATACATTAAAAATACATTTACTTACAGTAAATATGCCCCTGGGTGCATGTTTTTGGTCCTAGGACTGTTTTTTTTAAGAAGTACATACCCAAAGTTGAGTAAAAAAAACCTTTAAAAAAAGTGAATTTTGCATAATAGGTCCCCTTTAAATTTAGTGCTTGGAGTATGTGTTGTTAACGTCAGGTACTATAACACCATGTTTCACTTTAAATTCTGTAAAATTTACTGAGCTATAGCTWTTCAAGTCTAGGCTAAAGCATTTAGTCGTGTCGGCCATCTTGAATGGGTGTGATTCCGTGATGCACACAAGTTATTACTTTCTGAGAGTTTCATTAAAATCTATTTAGTGATTCATGAGATATTACACTGACAGTTGATTCCAACATTTATTGGCAACGTTTTAAACATATAGATCTTATAGCCCTTTTCCACTAGTGCCTCTACAGCACGGTTTGACTGGGACCAGCTCTGTTCAGTCCAGTTCGAGTGGTTTTCCATTACACTTCAGGAGCAACACTAGTGGGTGGGTTCTGGGCGGTCCAAAAGTCTGAAAATTGACACTACACGCTTTTGCCAGCTGGTGGTGGTAAWGCTCTATCAAGCTATTTGCCAGCCACCATTAAATGTAGTAGAAGACCCCAAACACAACAAGGACGACACGGTGGGTTTTACCAGATTCAAAAAAGAATTGACCAGGAAAAGACTCAAGCAGCGARGCAAAACACTCAGGACACGATCTAGACAACGTCTGAGGGTAAGCTAATGCTAATCTGCTAGTGAGCTATACGAACGAAGCCGAGCGTAAAAGCTTATGACGTCGATTAAATAAGGTTTAGTAATAAATGTGTTGTGTGTGTGTTTCTGATGAATCTCCTGCAAAATAAGCTCAGCAAACCTACAGTCTGGATGTGTGGGATTATTGTTTGGATTATTGTTCCTGGTTTTACAGCACAGTGGTTGCAGAATTTAAACATGTTAGTTAATAAAAATGTTTTGAAAATGACTTGACTTTTGTTATTTACACATAATGTAACATGACAAGGTGTACGTTAAAATTGCATAAGAAATCCTGCAGTGCTGTATCTGAGTTAATAATTCAAAAAGCATAAAAGTAAAAACTACTAACACACTATTCTTAAAAGAGTCAAACAGTCTGACAGAGTATAAAAGCTTAAAAAAGCACAAAGGATGCAGACGCAGTTTGATTTCAAAAGAACATGGTAGAAACTATAAACAGGAAAACTTACATGTAAGTGCTGACTAAGCATTTACATAACGTCAAGTTTTCCAGATGGAAACAGTATTTGTGCACTGACGTACCAGGACTAAGGCCGAGGTCACGGACTAGACCAGGGTTACAGGTACAAAACCTGTGGCTGAACTTGGTGATGAGTGTTTCCAGGTACTCTCCTCTTTCCTCAGGTGCGTGGATGTGTCTGAAGAAATCCCGTAGAGCATTGGGAAGGAACTGGTTAGTGAAGTTATGAAGGGTCACTAACTCGTCCAAAACATCTCGTCTGCACAGAAAAACAAAGACAAGAACTTCAATCTAAATTTGTCACAAATSAATACAATTTTTAAAATGTTCTCATAGTTTCATCATTGCAGTAAGTCTAAAATATCCCAGAGTTGACCTTTTATAAAGACTGGAGTATGAAGGTAGATATRTGTCAAAACCCACCTGCAAAAATTTGTTTGTAACCTGCAAATATATAATTTGTATATCTGTGAAAACAATTAACCTGCAAAATTTAGATTTGTGTACCTGCAGAAATGGTTTGTATTTAAAAATTTCACCTTCAAAAAGTTTTACACAAATATTTTCTGAATGTAAAGTCAGACAAAATTGTTACAAATGTCAAAAATAACATTTACACAGATATAATTACAGTTACAGACTTATAACACATGATTTATTTGTGTGTATTTTTTAAATTTGAGTCTATATTTTAATTACAACTACAACTCAAAGTTACAACTTCTCAACTCTGCCGCTACGAGCRCTCAACTCTCCTCCTGTGCATGTGTGACTCTCACCTGTGTGTGCACAACTTTTTGCATGTAACACTTTTGACACAAATATTCCACATGGGGTTGTCTCAAAACTGATTTGTAGCTGTTTAAGTGGGGGAAGGGGAGGGGGGAGCGTTGCTAGGGCAACAGGAGGGTTTTTTTGTATCAGCCAATCAGAGAGAGAGCTCAGAGCAGCTCGTCCTTTCTGCAGTAAGGAAGCTAATTGCCTGTGTACATGGACCCTCCGTGAGCTGAGTCTTTAAAATACTTTGTTTCTGTTCACTTTGTCTTCTGTTGATGAGCAAATTAACAATCAGCAAGAAAACATGAGCTTTTTAATTACAAGAAGTTAAGTAATGTTTGAAGTCATGTTTGCATAGGATGCTACTGCAGACATGCAGCCTGGTGGTCAAGSCTTGGCTCCTGGGGCTTGGCCAGGYAAAGCCCAAAAGTACTACAGGAGGTCACCTCCACTTGGACCCACCACCCATKGGGGAGGACCATCAAGGTCGGGTGCGATGCATGCCAGGCAGCAGGCGATTGAGGGTCCCTGGTCATGCTGAYTCCTGGCGGCAAAGACTGGCTCTAGGGACATGGAATGTAAMCTCACTCACGTGTAAGGAGCCAGAGCTTGTGAGTGAGGTTGAGCATTACCAGCTAGACGTAGTTGGGCTGACCTCTAATTACAACTTGGGCGCTGGAACCCAACTCCTGGAGAAGGGCTAGAGACTCTCCCACTGTGGAGTTGCCCAGTGTGGATACTCACAAGCCCCTGGCTATGTGCCTTGGTCTTGGAGTTCAACCTGGTGGATGAGAGGGTTGCCTCTGCAGCTTCATGCTGCAGGAGGGAAGGTTCTGACTGTTGTTTGTGCTTATGCACCAAACAGGCCAGGTCATGTTTGTAAATGAGAAGAGGTTTTCAAACAGTTTACCTGGATAAATAAAGGTTAAATAAATAAAATAAATAAAACATTCAGTTCAGATTACATGGTCTTTTTGGAGTCTTTGGATGGTGTCCTGGAAGGGGTTGTTCTGCTGGGTGACCTCAATGCCCATGTGGGTAATTACAGAGTTATCTGGAGTGGGGTGATTAGCAGGAATGGCTTCCCAGATCTGAACCCGAATGGTGTTCTGTTATTGGACTTCTGTGCTAAGCACGGATTGTCTATAATGAACACCATGTTTGAGCATAGGGTGGACCATACGTGTATTTGGTACCAGAACACTTTAGGCCAAAAGGTAAATGATTGAATTTGTAATTGTGTTGTCGGACACACGGCTCCATGTCTTGGACACTCAGGTGAAGAGAGGGGCAGAGCTGTCAAATGATCACCACCTGGTGGCGAGTTAAATCCAGTGGCTGAATAAAACTGAAGGGAGGCTGCCAGACAACCTGGTAAACCTAAACATATAGTGAATGTGAACTGGGAAGGTTTGGTGGAAACCCCTGTCCATGCGATCTTTAACTCTCACCTCCAAAAGAGTTTTTCGAGGACCTGGAATCCGAATGGGCCACGTTCAGATGTTGCAGATGCGGCTTCCAGGAGGTGTGGCCTGAAGGTCATCTGTGCCTGTTGTGGCAGGAACCAAAGTACCCGCTGGTGGATACCAGCAGTGATGGAGGCTGTCAGGCTGAAAAAGGAGGCCTTCTGGACTTGGCTTTCCCAGAGGACTCCTGAAGCAGCTGACAAGTACAGGGTGGCAAAGAGCGTTGCAGGTTTGGTGGTTGCAAATGAAAAAAACTTGGGCATGGGAGGAATTCTGGAAGTTCATGGAGAAGGACTTCTGATTGGCCGCGAGGAAGTTCTGGCAAACCGTTCTGCGACTCAGAAAAGGAAAGTGTTCCCTGTCCAAGGCTTTTATTTGGTTTGGATGGGGAACTCCTGGCCCAGACTGAGGATATCGTTGGGCAGTGGAAAGAACACTGAGGATATCTTGAATCCACCCTCCATGTCTACCTTTGAGGAGGCAGAGTCTGAAGACTCAGGGGATGATGACTCCATTACCATGGCAGAGGTTACAGAGGCAGTCAAAAAGCTCCTAGGTGGCAAGGCGCCAGGGGTGTACGAGATTCGCCACGAGATGCTGAAGGCTCTGGATGTTGTGGGAATTTCATGGTTGACACATTTCTTCAACAGCACATGGAGGACTGGGACAATTCCTGTGGAATAGCAGACCGTGGTAGTGGTTCCCAGTTTTAAAAAGKGGGATGCATGTTCTAACTATCGTGGGATCAACTTCTCGCCCTCCCCAGGAAATTTTACTTCAGGGTGTTGGAAGAGAGGCTCCGATTGATTGTCAAACATCAGATTCACGAGGAACAGTGTGGCTTTCATCCTGGGCATGAAACAGTGGACCAGATCTTTACCCTTGCAGAGTTGCTAAGGGGGGTCATGGGAGTTTGCCTCTGTGGTCTACATCTGTTTTCTAAACTTGGAGAAGGCTTATGATCGTGTTCCTTGAGGAATTCTGTGGGGGCTGMAGTGGGAGTATGGAGTGTCTGGGTTGCTACTAAGAGCTTTCCAGTCCTTGTAGAACCAAAGCAAAAGCTGTGTTTGCACTCTTGGCACACAGTTGAGCTTGTTTTCAGTGCAGGTTGGACTCAGCCAAGGCTGTCCCTTGTCTCCGAACCTGTTTGTAGTGTTTATGAACAGGATCTCAAGGCGCAGTCGTGGAGAGGGGAGTGTCTGGTTTGGGAACCACATGGTCTCATATCTGCTGTATGCAGATGATGTGGTTCTTATGGCATTTTTGGACCAAGACCTTTGTCATGTTCTTAAGTCTGAGGCCATGGTTCTTGGCTGGAAAAGGGTGGAATGACCCCCTCAAGATGGGGGAGAGTCTCTGCCTCAAATGGAGGAGTTTAAATATCTGGGTGTCTCATTCACAAATGATGGTAGCATGGAATGGGAGATAGATCAACAGACTGGGGTGTTGTCCTCAGTAATGAGGGCATTGCTTGCGTCAGTCGTGGTGAAGAAAGAGCTGAGTTGAAAGACAAAGCTCTCGATTTACTGGTCTGTCTACATTTCAACCCTCACCTAAGGTCATGAGGYGTGGATCATGACCAAAAGAACGAGATCCCGAATACAAGTGGCTGAAATGAGCTTCCGTCATAGGGTGGCCGGGCTCAGCCTTAGAAATAGGGTGAGGAGCTCCGTGATCCGGGGGAGCTCGGAGTAAAACAGTTGCTACTCCACATTGAAAGGTGTCAGWTGAGGTGGTTCGGGCATCTGATTAGGATGCCTCCTGGACGCCTCCCTTTAGAGGTGTTCCGGGCACTTCCCACTGGTAGGAGGCCCCGGGRAAGGCCCGGGACTTGCTGGATGGATTATGTGTCCTCTCTGGCCTAGGAATGCCTCGGGGCCCCCAGGGTGAGCTTGTCGCTGCCATACTGCAGAGACGACGAGCTTTAGCTCTATCTTTTACACAGAACACTCGTACCAAATACCGTTTTTTTTGTTTTATTTTTGAATTTTTGAAATTCCGACAATGGTTTAAATACCCTGAACACACTCGAATCGACAGAAAAAGTTGAACACTTGGAATTCTCTCTCAACTGCAGACATCTGGGGCCTCATTTATAAAGGATTGCATGGAAACCATACTAAAAATGAATGTACGCATGCACATTTTCAAGCAATTTTCCTTTATAGATCACAAATGCAATTCAGATTTTGAAATTTCTTTTGGTGAGGAGGGGTCTGTGAGGGTYGTCTGGAGAGSAGGGCGGCTGGGAGGGAGATGGATGGAGATGCGTGAACTTTTATATAAGATTTAAGTTGGTCTTTTGAATWTGAAAGGTCCTTATGGCTCACCAGCATAAATAATACTGTTAAGAAAGCTTATGATAAAGTTGAATAAAAATCTTAGTTTGATTATGAAGTGAAATTAAATATCTGACCTCATCATTACAGTGTGGCTATATATACTCACTTCACCTTCTGTGTCGCAGCTTCTCGTTTCAAAATAAAACGTACATGTGGGTCAGAGCTGGTTTGAGGAACCTCACATTTTCACGCCAAGTTTGGGATTTATAAATCACAACCTTTGCATGAAAAGTGGCGTATGCAAGTTTCTGGGCTCGATTTTTGCGTATACGCAAATATACGCATATATATATTGCGTATAAGCTTTATAAATGAGACCCCTGAACTTTCCATTACCACAGAAATGAGGCAGGACACAAGAAAAATCCCAAACTTTCACAAACTTAAATGCTGATTGTACAAGAATGGTTCAAGATATCAAAAAGCTAAATTAATCTGTAATAGATGAAATTCTAAAGTTTTGTTTCTAACATGAATGGCCTTTCTAGACGCAAGTATGCTGAAGTAGATGAAGTTCAAAAAGCAGTAAGATGTTGAAGGATTTCATGGAATTCTAATGTATTTCAATGAGAGAAAAATTTGCTTAAAAAGCTGAATATCTAAAAAAAGTTTAAAGATATCAATACCAAAAGTCATAGCCGGAATCTCCTGAAGGAGTTGAATGTTTTGATATATGAGAATTGTTGAAATATCACAAAAATTTAGGTAAAGAGATAGAGGCCAAAAAAACGTACGGAAGAAACAGGAATAATATTGAAAAAATAAAGAGAAACATGAAAACAATAGTGTGAATGATATGAGGCAGTCACACAATTTTTCAACAATACTATAATATTTTGATGTAATTTACTACAAGCAGCAYCTTATAGTGTTTGGAAAAACTTGGGCTCTTAAGAAGCTAAAGGAAAACAAGTGTTTACAGAAGCCATGGACACTAGCCTGGCCCTTGCCTTCCTACGCAGTTCCGCTCAATTCTAATTTCCTTCACGGCTCCGTCTGGGACTTCTCCCATTGAGATGGATTTTGCTGGCAGATTTTTAGCCGGGACAATCAGAGAACAGATCGTCAATGTTCTGTGCAGTGTCTGCTTGTAGTTTATTTTACCTGGGCCAATCAAAAAACAGAAAGAGGAGTTTTGAAC